GTATCAAGGAAATTAACTTTAAAATACTCGAAATGATCTAGTTTAATAGAAAATAGACGTTATTAGTTTCCATATGCAACGTATGCAAAATATTAAAAATCAGATTATTATATGTTGACAGTAACTTGATATCGATGCTATATGTTATCGTACAATCATCATTTTCTAAGTTTCTAAGAGGTAACACTGTAAACCTGACGACAATGTTCTAATATGAGATGTGAAGAAAACCTGATCATATGCATTGTTTACCTGATAAATAATAAGCTTTTACACATAGATGGGAGAACAAACAATATTCTATTCATGGCATTTGCACCAAGCAATACCGTCCACCGTTAAAACGCGTATGTATGTATTAACTATTTTGTCAGACTGAGATTCTATGTTCAAGTCCGATGCTAACTGTGTTGCTATTCGTTATTTTGCTGCAGTTTTGCTTAATCCTGAATTATCATTTTCATGTTATTTATTTTTACTCGTCGTATGAGCATTTAATTGACGCCGAGGCGTGAGACCGGTTGCAAGTGTTGTATGCCCTGGAGTACTGTGTCATGATAGTGTTGTATAATTCCCATCATGTCTCGCTGTGATATAGACAGTTAAAAACCTAATACAAGAAAAAGCATTGGTGTTATTTTCATTTTCGTTTGACAAAATGGTTTGAACGATGCATAACTGATAACGGATATTAAGTTACCAGCGTATCTACGTTTTTGTCGGTTAATAAATCTCATAGCATCGAGAAGTTTTGTTTTTGTATTGAAAACTCGAATTGATTTGTTCAAAAAGGGTGTAAACTCGAACGATATTTTTACAGATAAACTAAAAGTATTCACAAACAGGTGCAGTGTTCTCAGGAAATTTGGATGTCGGCGCTATACATCAGAATTTGTTCGTCACGTGAGAATGTTTTATAAGGTTTTGTATGATATCCACCGCAGCTTTATATTCTTCTCTTCACATTTATCGTTTTTTGTTTTAAATGTCAAATGTCATCCTTATAAACAATGTGTGATCGCTTGCTATACCAGTTAATCAACAAGCATATCTAACCATGTAATCAGAGTTACAGTCGTATTGTAAAACGCTACACTACAGAAAGAGGATCAATAATAACTCAAAGTTACTAAAGTCTTTTGAAAAGGCTTTAGCATTGTTTCGTCTGATATCTGAATTATCTTTTCACTGTCTGCACTATTATATATCATGTCAAACTGAGGGAACACTTCTCGTATCATGAAAATATTTTTTTCCAAGAAAAGAGAACGGCAATCCCTGGTTGAGTTTGATGGCAAGTTTTTGTCCAGCAGCTGTTGGCAAAGTCAAGGGAACAGGCTGCATCTGTATTTCTGCCGGCTTGATCTTTGTTCATGTGAAGCTTATTCGGAAGCTTAGCATGACTGCTAACAATATCCTGGCAAAATCCTTCAATATTACGTGCAGGCACAACGACGATGTGTCGCCTTTAAAAAACCACAATTCGAAATACGTTGACAGTTAATTCGGTAATCAAGGGCTTCCTCCTAATCATGATTTCCGTCATAGATGTTATACGATAACGGACAAACTAGCAACGCAAATTTAGAGAAATGCTGGATCATGCATGAAAAAATACGGAAGCAAGCGTTTTTCCCCTTATTGGCCCCTTGTATATCGTAGAGACCACACTTGTAAGGTCCCTTTTATATCGTAGAGACCGCAATTGTTGGCCCCTTCTATAACGTAGAGACCGCAATTGTTTGCCCCTGGTGTATCGTAGATACCACAATTGTTAGGCCCTTTGTGTATCGTGGAGACCACAACTGTTTGCCCCTGGTGTATCGTAGAGACCACAATTGTTAGGCCCTTTGTGTATCGTGGAGACCACAATTGTTAGGCCCTTTGTGTATCGTGGAGACCACAATTGTTGGCCCCTTGTGTATCGTAGTTGTGACAATTGAGGATCCCATTGTCTATTATATATTGGGACCCCTTGTAAATCGTAGAGGCCATTATTGAGGAGCACCTACTTTATCGTAAATAACTATTGTAGTTCCCCTTTGCGTATCGTAGGGGTCTATTGTGGGCCCTTTGTGTATCGTAGGGGATCTATTCTGGGGTCCCTTGAGTGTCATACAGGTCATTATGTATCGTCGAGGCCGATAATGTGGGCAACCTTGTGACCTAAGAGGCCATTAAAGATTCATAGGTTTTCTACGGTGTCATATATTAAGAGGAATCACGTTGGGAAGTTTTTGTTTACTTATTTTTCCCACTTGCAGTTTTTGTGTTCTTTTTGAGCAACTGTCTTCATGTGAATATTGCTGTTGTGAGCTCGTTAAGCCCGATACAAAAATTGTTACCTGTTGTACAACGTAGCAGGTCATAGAAAGAGTAATTGACGAGTTCAACTTAGTCTCTGAAGTGACACATGCAGGTTGCTTAATATAAAAGCACACACACACACGCGTATTCTATTTCAATAGCATATACAACACAATCGAGATATAGTCGGATGTTGATGGAGTAGGCCGTTCCGGCTGGAGGAAGCCAGACGTGTTGAGATACGGGGTCAGTGTTGGCATCAATTACTGACTGTTGTAAGCTTAACATATTACTAAATGATAATAAAAAAACACATTTGTATTTCGGCTAAAAGAATACATGACTTCTTAATATTAATGTCAGTAGCAGGAATATTTTAAACTTCCATATAACGACTTTATTTATTTACATAATTTTCAAGGTCTCGTGTGAGTATTTATGTTTGTAGGAATGTGTTGCACACACTAGTCTACAACTTACGCATCACAAGTTTAACACCAGGCAGATATCACAGCCACAGCCGACCTTAGTGTTAGTAAGCTTATATCAAAGTTGCAGACTGTTTGGATTTGCTGATACTATCGACTGAATTATTTGTAAAAATTAAATTAAATAAATGTTTAATAATTTATTTTCTAAATTACACAATGGTGATGATAGACACGCATAAAGTTTGTATAACATTACTGAGCTTATCTAAATACAAAAATTGTAATTTCTACAATTATTTAATGAAAAGATCAGATTCATGTTTTTTGTTTGAAAATGCGGTAAAAAAATTGTGCACAGTTTTATTATTTGCCGTAGTATCGCTTATATTATTGCATTAAGTAGCATGTTCATGAAACAATGTTTTCTAATAAGTATAATTTAATTAGCTTAACATTTCAATCTTATCGCTACAGCAAACCATTGTCATTTTACAAACATTGACATTGACTATGCTTCAAAGATCATGTTAATAGTTCAGAAGCATTGGATTTTGTGTCGAAGACTACGAAACAATAGACACGTGATATATTGTTCTCGTTTACATAAAGTCTATTGTGTCTGTTTATAGAAGTATGCCAGTAGGTGTCTGTTTAACGACACATAGTATGTTTACAAGCACAAGGTATACAGTGCATTGTGTCTTTAGTACAGACACATGGTATAATGTTTTCTTTGTACAGACACATGATAGATGCTGTTCTTTGTACAGATACATTGTATATGGTATATTTTGTACAGACACATGGTACATCGTGTCCTTTGTGAGGACTCATGGTATATGGTATGTTTTGTACAGACACATCGTATATGGTGCTTTTTGTACAGACACATAGTATATGGTGTCTTTTCTACAGACTCATGGTATATGGTGTCTTTTGTATAGACACATGGTATATGGTGTCTTTTGTACAGACACATGGCATATGGTGTCTTTTGTATAGACACATGGTATATGGTTCCCTTTGTTAAGACACACGGTATATGATTCCCTTTGTAAAGACACGTGGTATATGGTGTCTTTTCTACAGACTCATGGTATATGGTGTCTTTTGTATAGACACGTGGTATATGGTGTCTTTTGTACAGAAACATTGTATATGGTTCCCTTTGTTAAGACACACGGTATATGATTCCCTTTGTAAAGACACGTGATTTATGGAGACTTTTGTACAGACACGTGGTATATGGAGACTTTTGTACAGACACGTGGTATATGAAGACTTTTGTACAGACACGTGGTATATGGATACTTTTGTACAGACACATGGTATATGGAGACTTTTGTACAGACACGTGGTATATGGAGACTTTTGTACAGACACATGGTATACTGTGTCCCTTGTACAGCACTTGGAGGATGATGTCCTTTGTACAGACATTGGTATACTGTCTCTTTGTACAAATATTGGTATTGGTATATTGTGTTTTTTATTAGACATTGGTATATTGTGTCCGTTGTACAAACACTTGGTATATCATGTCTTTTGTACAGACACATGGTACATCGAGTCTTTTGTACAGACACATGGTATATGATGTCCTTTGTACAGACACATGGTACATCGTGTCCTTTTTACAGACTCTTAGTTGATGGTGTCCTTTGTCAGACACGTGGTATATGGCGTCCTTTGTATAGACAAATGGCATATATTGTTTCGTTTATACAGACACATGGTATTTGATTGTTTTTTGTACCGACACATTGTGGATATGTTATCGTTTATATCGACATATGGTAGATGGTGTCTTTTACAGATACATGTGTATTGTGACATTTGTACAGACACGTGACTATGGTGCGCTTTGTGCAGACACATGATATAGGGTGTCCGTTGTACAGACACGTGTGTGTGGTGTCGGTCAACACACACTCGAATATGGAATCCTTTCAAAGAGTCCTATATCGACGAAACAGCTGTATGATACTTTGCTATCCTTTCTAGGCTTACTGTATTTATAACAAAATATTAAAGATACTATCACATGTGTTTGTGTTTTTTTCCTCATTCATAGTATTTCGTGTTCGTTTTAAGATATTTAGCATATGAAAACCGATTACAGATAGGGGGAATATGATGTATTTTCACATCGACAATACATTTTTTAAGCATCGGTGTCTAACCCCATCTCCAGCTCTCTGTATGCTGTAATATTGCATCAAAGGGACATAAATCTTGTTAACAATGATTGAACATATTGTAGATGAAAATAATACTGCTTTATTTAAATGTCAATGCAATTTGTAACAAAGAAAACATAATAAACTTGCATACTTAAAAATGAGTTATAAAACTGCATGCGTACATACTGCAATCAAGTCACCGTTCAAAAAGAAAAATTGCCTATGATTGAAGCGTACATGAATTATATTACATTGTAAACATAACACTCAGTGGTTTTATACGGTACAGTCCTTACCAACAGCACCGGTATTTATATATAGCAGCTTTGCAAACATGCATGAACCAATCTCCTCCGAGCAAACCACATATTGTCTAGTATTTCTCTTAAAATGTTTTCATTAGTTCGTCATGTATTGAGTATTATATATATTCGTATCACCGGTTGCATTAAAAATGAACTCCATAATAATAAACAAAAAGTATTCTTACATTTTTGTACTTTGCATGGTAAACAAGAGTATTAGGTGAATAACACCCGTCCTATTCAATGCATATATGCATCAACTAAATTGATATAACAGACATAACCCCACTACAATAAACATATGTTGTACTAACCAAACTGACACAACAGCAACAAGATAACTGGTGGCTATATATATACTAAAACTAATGCATACGCATACAGATGAGACCCAAAGGTATACATGTATACTGATAAAGGACACTGGTGTACATACCTATTCACTGCTGGTTTAATTTGTGGGTATACATGACGATTCTCATAGATATGCACACAAGCGGAATTCATTGGTATGCCCGCATGCATAATAGCATATGCTATTAATAGTTATACATGCATACAACTGTAACTAATCATTGTCCATGCACACATATGTATACAGTATATATTATGACTCATGGGTATGGATAAGGTAATATGCAATAAATGAAAAATATACAAATGTTTCCCGTGGTAAACATACCTATCACTGAATGGTATGTAAACGTAATTGACTAAAACGTGTATCTACATAACCGTTTGAAACTGTTGTCATTTGGAGAGGCTTCACTGACTTGCTATGCATGTTCTCTCTCAGTTAATCTTACTTATTTCAAATCCTAAATAATATATACACATACACAGAATTGCACACGGTTAAAAGTAATACATTGCGCTGCATACACTGAACATGGTTTAGTATGGTAGAAAACACAGAGTTCAAATAAATCCTGATTCACTATTTCAAAACGACAAATGCAATAATTTCATACGGAGAGTATGTATTATTTTCGATTTTTGGCATTCCATTAGCTAATATACGTGTTTTGATATAACGATACAAAGCACGCTATCATACCTCACTCTATCATTTTACAAACTACTAAAGTTATGTATTATCTACGCTTTCTTCGCCGAGTGACATTCTGAACAGAAGGTCTATTTCTGCGCTTGGGGACCTTGGTAAAAGACAATCGGCTTTATCGTCAAAAACATCATCTTGTTCTTTGTCATCGGGTTTCAACATTGGCTCCCTCTCACGATCTTCCGTATCTCGTTCTAAAGATGACTGAGATATCCTGTTATCAGTATTAACCGAAATGTCCGGTACATTTGAGTTCGTGGCTTTGTTTTGGCTTGGAATTGCGCCCGTGCGCTTTGTTACCGGTTGCGTCTCGTCTAAATTATCCAGAGTTTCACGTGATGCGTCAATGAAAGGTAAGTTCCAACTGACGTTATCGCGTGAACCCGGTACAAACTGGTCACCCGGTACAAACTGGTCACTCTGGGAAACGAATTTACCCTGGGAAACGTCCAAAAGAACTTTGTCGGAAGTTAATCGTGATTGATCTTGTTTCATGCTTGATCTTGCCGGTTTTTGGGGGGACGGGGACTTAACCGGGGGGGACGGGTGTGTCTGTGTCTCTGTGGCTGCTGTCCCGTTGCTTTTCGGCTGGTACGACTTAGCCACCGTTGAATTGATGTTTTTGTCGGCTCTATTTCTCCTATACCTGTCAAAAACAGTTGAAAATGAAATAGAAGATATTACTTTTCGAAATCACACGATGTCCTATGCCATCTGGCTAATATATCCATATGCATGTGTGTATGCCTGCGTGTATGCTGGAGATATAATTGTTAACCATTTTATAGCCATAATTATAGCTTTGATAAACCATTTCTGACACAAAATACGTTGCGTGATTTTCATTGAAACACTAGTTATAACAATGTTCTGAGAGTATAAATGCGAACGACGATATCTGACTCTCGCGAGATATTTCTTCACATTTTCTGCAATATTGATTCATTTAGGTGGAAGATCCCTAATATTCGAAAAGAAACTTCGCCCTTTTCAGGCCACTACGATATGTTTTTAAAGAAGAACCATTGCAAATAATAAGCAGCTTATACGAACCCTGAGAAAAGCCCCTACTTAGTACTTTCATTTCAGTTTTATCGAGCCGGCAACTGTCACAGACAGTTACAATTACCGATACATACATTTTGTAAAATTTGAAAAATATCCTTGGTCGATTTTTACTTACCTGTGATAAGCGAATGCGAGTAAGATGACAGCAATTAGTAAAACCACCACTAAAGCTATCATTAGCATAACAAGTCCTGTAAGATAAAAGACTAACATAAGACTCGTGCATGTCAATGATCGTAAGCTAGGGAAATTACATGCAGACTTTTTTGTTATATGCTTTTAATTTCTTGTTATTTATTTCAATCGAGAAAACAAAATAAAAACAGCTGACCGACTGAGATAATCTTAATTTTCAACAACAGTCCAGTAGAAATAAATATACTCCGAAAGTGTCAGCAAAACAGCTACTCGAATTGAAAATCGATAAACCTAGAGAACCTGAACACAGGAAGATGTACATGGAGACCTTTGAAAAGTACAAGGGAAATAATGCTATATGTTTAAGAAGGGTTAGCGTCTTCTGCTTCAAAAATGGAACCCGTCATGTTATCAGACAAACTTTCAAACTGAGTTATGGGTTTCAAAGATTTAGGTTATGGAAAACCATGGGCAAGTTTTCGATTGCCATCATAATCTCTTTAAGAAATGTGCCTTGTCTTTGTCTGAACGTTATATTATACTCGTTAGTGTTACTTGTTTTGTTGTCACAAACCCGTCCTCTCTATGAAGACCTGACATTACATGGATTTGATCACTAATTTCACCAGCTTGCATCTTTAAAACCGATAACTCAGTTTTAAAAGTTTGTCTGCCAGCAATCGACATCTACCACAGAAGACATCAAACAGGAGAAATAGGGGTTAGATCGAAAATTACATCACATGCTTTTTGTTTATCACCATACCTTGGACATTTCTATTAAATGTGCAGAGGAATAGGAAAAAGGAAAATTACCCGTGAATTTCATTTTGGAACAGTTTATGATGTATATTATTAAGGGGAAAGCAAGATGATATAGGCTAAAAGGTCAGATAGTGCCAACTATAAACAGTACGAAACTAGACTGATAAGTGGTTAATATTATATACCTCATTTAAAGAGCTTACCTGAAAATATGACTTATAGTTATGTGATTTAAGCATCTTTTATCTGCAAGTGAATCATAAAGGTTTGCCATATGAAAATACTACTGCTGATCCAAACACAATACTTACCTGAAGGTTCGTATTTTTTGCGGTCATCATCTACCTCGCTGTCTTTCTCCAACTTTCCATAGTTTGGTTTATGCAGTTCGGTTGTTCCAATAGTAGACGTCATTGTGGCTAATGTTACCACGTGAGAAACACTGTCAAATAAAAAACCAAAACAAGAGTTATGATTACTAAAAAGTATTAGAATTGTTTATTTGAATGCCTTGTAAACCTACTTGATACCAGTTTGTGCCTAGAGTTACGGAGAAGCATATACAGTTATGTGAAAGATGTAGCTGTATAGTTAGTGATAATGATTTGCCAATCTTTAACTGTAGAGTATTGGAAAAGCTTATAGCTAGATTCAGTTTTATATGTAGGGATTACTGTATGCCAATGCTTAGCCGTAGAATAAAGAAGAATGATATATAACAAATTACTAAATAATAAAGAACAAGTCTATAAGAATGTGGTACAAAACAAATTGTACAGTAATGGACCAATATGTAATAAGATTAAAATGCATTTTTGTATATATACAATGTTTCGATGTTTAGTGTTGTAGAATATATTGCAATGGTTTAGTAGAGTAGTGATGGTGAAGTTGTAAAAAAGATTATTATTTGGCCGTTTATGTTGACGGTTTATTTTCTAGTTACTTTTTTACAGCTACCTATACAAATATCGATTCCTTAAAGTTTGTTTATATTTCATATATTCTGAAGTTTAGTTTTATGGGCATGTATTGATGTTTGACATGTAGATATGTGTATACACAAGGAAGCATAACAATGCTAGCAAATGATGAAATACTAGTTTGATTTTATGTGGTTTCATGTACCTTTGCCCTATAGAAACAGGGCGTGTTTTGATGTACCTTTGCCCTATAGAAACAGGGCGTGTTTTGATGTACCTTTGCCCTATAGAAACAGGGCGTGTTTTGATGTACCTTTGGCCTATAGAAACAGGGCGTGTTTTGATGTACCTTTGCCCTATGGAAATAGGACGTGTTTTGATGTACCTTTGCCCTATGGAAACAGGGCGTGTTTTGCATGTAACATCACCTAAACAAAGCAATATCTAGAAAAAAAAATCATCGTTCAAACAATAACCATACTTAGTTACACTGCACAAAGCGGTAGATATTTGAGTAGGAACAAAGGCCAACATATTTGTCAACATATATTTGTTGCCAATGATATTTCTTCTGCTAGATGCCTATGTGACATAAAGACCTAATATCTAATACATCATCAATATCGTAGAAATATAACATTTGAACCATGCAGCTCATCAGCAAATTGATAAATGTCAGATAATATTTTGAAAAACAGGACAACTGAGGCATATGTGCTGTCAATCTAGATACGTAAATAGCTCATGCCCATTGTTAAACTATTTCCTTGTTTTTTATTATCTGCTGGTCTCTTACGTTCTAAAAATGAAACTGAAACTGAAATAAAGGATAAATTGAATTTAAAATGTAATATTTGTCAAGAAAGACTTATGCGTACTTACATGACTGTGGTCTTTGTCCTTGTTCGTTGTACTCGTGTCGTAGACAAGGCGTCACCGACTTAGGACGGACATCCGCGGTGAATGTACGCAGACGGTACACAGGGGCTAGCTACATGCGAAAATGTATAGTTATATTTTATGTTCTTGCAGATATGAAATATACAATGAGGACATTTTCTGTCGTGATAAGGTCAGATTTTAATGTAAATAATACAATTCTGCAATCAGTGAAGCAATAGATTTTATAAGAAGTACGTATATGTGGTTGACGGGGAGGAAGCGGAGTTATGTATTTATATATACACCCTGTGTGTATGCATGTGTAGGGGAAAGATGTCAGGAATCCTGCGGAACTATCATTGACCTTTTTTCTTACAATAACGATTTAACTGTTAGCGAACATAAAATTAACTGTTAAAAATATCTACGTATAGGTTTATGCCAATTTGTGTTTGATTTAGATGCCTTCATATTATAAATATGTTGATTACTGTAACGTATTCCTATGTTTGTGTAAGGAAACAGGAAGTATAAGCATCCATTGTATCATTCGAGACGGGATTGTCAGTTTGCAGATGATTATAAGTATGGCCCTATTCATATCATTAAAACATGGTACTTGTATAAATAGAGATATGTATGAAAGTATAAGGATAACACATACTTAATTATGCATGGAAGTACGCAGGAAACAGGGTTTTATTGGGTCAAAGTCCAAGTAAACGTTAGGATAAGGTTATACCACAGTGTGACCTATTACGACTGTGTGTTACCACCTATGACAATTTTAACTAATCTCCCACAATTTCGTATGATTTTGCATCTCCCCTCCTAACCTCTCCACTGACCTTTGTGTCAGTTCCTGCCTGTCCACCTACTCTTCTATCCCCATCTTAGCTTCTACGATTCTCATCAGAAACATTCCACCTTATGGTCTGCTCTTCCCCCTGTTAATTTTCTATATCACTTCACCTAATCTTCACCGTCTTTCTTTATCATTAGATATCATCCCTCTATCCATTCTGTTATCCCTTCTCTTGTCATCAGACACTATCTCTATACTTAGGCGTCTTTCTCTTGCTTGCTCATCAAAAGCAATTTCTCTACCTAATCTTGCCTTGTCACCTCTTCTAACCAAGTTGTCTATTCTTACTTTTTTTTAAAGTTTTTTTTATAATTCCACCTAACATAATCCCCTAAGCGTTTTAGATTTAGCTGTTTCCGGCCTCATCTTTTCCATACATTTCTTATTAGTGTCCCTACATAATTTCCCTACTTAATCTTCTGTTCCTTCTTCACTTATCCACCGCTATGTATCCATCCCACTTAATCTTCTATTCTTTGTTCACTTATCAGTTATAATATCCCCACCCGATATGATTTTCTGTCCTTCATTCACCACAGTAATCAGTTATTGTATCTAGATCCTACATTATTTCCTGCTCCTTGTTCACGTATCAGTTATAACATCTCCAGCCTAACTACCTAACCCTCTGGTCCTCGTTCACTAATCACTTACTATATCTCCGTCCTACCTAATCCTCTGCTCCTCCTTCAATTATCACTTACTTTATTCCAACCCTACCGAATCCTCTGCTCCTAGTTCACTTGTCACTTACTATATATCCATTCTACCAAACCCTATGATCCTTCTGTTCTTATCACTTACTATATATCCACCCTACCTTACCCTATTGATCTCGTTCACATATCACTTACTATATCTCCACTTTTCCTTATCTTCTGATCCTCATTTACTTATCACTTACTATATCCCCACCCTACCTAACCCTCTTAATCTCCTTTACTTATCACTTGCTATATCTCCACCCTACCTTATCTTCTGCTCCTCATTAACTTATCACTTACTATATTCCCACCCTACCTAACCCTCTGGATCTCCTTTACCTATCACTTAATATATCCCCACTCTATCTTATCTCTTGATCTCCTTAGCTTATCATTTTATATATCTCCACCCTACCTAATTCTCTTGATTTGCTTTACTTATCATTTACTATATACCCATCCTACCTAATTATCTTGGCTTCCTTTACTTATTATTTACTATATTTCCACCCTACCTTATCTTATGCTCCTCATTTAATTATCATTTACTTTATCCCCACCCTACCTTATCCTCTTGATCTCCTTTACTTATCACTTACTTTATCTCCATCCTACCTTATCATCTGGTCCTCGTTCAGTTATCACTTACTATATATCCACCTTTTATAACCTTCTGCTCTTCGTTCACTTATCACGAATTTGATCTCCATCCTGCATACTATTCTGCTCCACGTTCACTCTTCAATTACTATGTATCCATATATACCTTCTAAGCTTGTCTAAAACTAAAATAATTTTGCTATATTGACACCATGTCCGTTTTAACTATATTAATAAATACAATAGTTTTGCAGGAATTAGGTTGCAAAATAATATATGCTATTTTCAGTAATATTAATTCAATTTACATTAATGTTATATATACCAACAGCCCGATGGTTGTACCTTGTAAACATTTCGTAGTTTCCAGTGTTATCTCCCTTTGAATGGTAGAGTGTGCATCCGTTTGTAGTTACTTCCCTTGATTATCAGCTGCAGTTGTTGGCGTTTCAAATAAATGCCACAGTCGATTCTCTTGTGAAAAAGAGGTGTATGAATTGTAGATATTTCCGTTCCAGATGTAAGTACTGATTTTAGCAGCATTGCAGTTGGAGGCATGTCAGTTGCTGAAGTACTATTAACGTTACACGTGTAGTCATTGCAAATGTTCCCATCTCCTTGATGCACTTGAACGGCTTTTAGACCACGTAAATCAAAATCAAACAGTTGTTTCACACTTTGAAATATCTCTCTTTACGTAACATTTGCTTAGAACGATTATTCAATAGTCTTGCTATTTTGTAATTATCACAGAATTAAGCATTTGCTTTGCATACATTATTTCTACATATAGACTATATTAAGCATTTTCATACATATACACACCATTTAGAATTCACATGACGATGTATCTAATCATGTGGTGTGTTAATTCAAGTAAACACATCGAGTCCATAAGCTTCATATTATGTGCATAGTTTTTAAAATGGTATGTAATATATATTGACTAAGCGTGAACATGACTAAATGGTATAATGAAATGCATTTATCTTTTCGGGGTAATGATTCTGATATTCGAACATGTCAATGTATTTTTGCAAGATTCATCGGCATTTTTTTTTCACGAGCAGTATGTTGATATAACTCATAATGAATATCATTTATACATAGAACAACTACTCGTCAGCTTCAACTTATAAACGTTCTTTTAAGATAACCTACAAATGTTGAAATGTATCACCGGTAAATGTAGTAACAACAATATTGATACCTTTATATTTATTTATATTTATATCAAGCACTATTGAACAGTCAATATATCTTATTTTGTTCTCTTTTAAAATGTATGGTTGTGATATGACCTTACAATATATCCCCCTTTGATCTCGTTATCAATTTTAACTGATTCCTGGTGACATATCTTAAAGATTTTCGTTTGTTTTGTCTTTAATTTGTTACGATCGAAGGGTTGTTTTTAAAAACACAAGCGAAGGTTATAAAACTACACTTTAAAAAATCTATAACCAGCAAAACAAATTTCTGCAACGATAATATCTACGAGGAAAATGAAGTTTGTGTCTTGTCTCGCCGCGCCGAGAAAGCGAACGTGAGACTAAGGTGTTGCTTTTCATTTTCAGTTAACTCCCTTTCCAGACATGTCATTTCGCAAAAGTCTTGGTAATTATAGATACAGAAACAATATTGTATTTGGTTCAAATCAGTTTCTATTATATTATCCTACATGAATCAACAATAAGAGTAGTTTTCCAAGACGTTTGAAAATCGGGTTGATTCGTTATTGACAATCTCAACAATTGGGGTACGATTTCGTGATAAAACAGTGTTAAAGGTTTTAACACACCTATTGTCCTAAACAACAACAAGTATTACTGGACAGGTAATTTGAATCCTCCCGTTAAAGCTTCAGATGATCCTAGCTTCTTAACTAAAACAAATATGTAATAACACGAACATAGAGAATAATGTACAACATGAACAAATATTACAAAACAATAAGCAATGCCGTGTTACTGCTCAAACATACGTATATGCGACATAAAGAAACAATGCAGAAATCAGCCAACATATTTACTATTGCATTGCACGTATCTTGGTAAAAGGCGAACAGAATAAGTCTTAACGCTTCTGCAAGCTTAGCATGGTTGCAGCTTACTACACATCAAGAGAAACAAACAGCAATATAAAGTTCGAAAGTACATCTTGCATGACTAAACATTCACGTTTTATCGAATTAACTATTCAATAATCTTCCCCACTGAGGGACATTCTGAACAGTTGGTCTATGTGTTCACTAGGCGACCTTGGTAAACGACAGTCGATGTTATCGTCAAAAATGTCATCATCGTCCTCATCGTTTCTTAACAATGGATCGCTTTCAAGAGCATCTGTATCTTGTTCGGTATGAGATACCTTGCCATCCAAATCAACTGAAGCGCTCGGTTGACCTATATTAAGATTGTTTGCCTCGCTCTCACTAAGAATTATTGTTCTTCGCGTCATAACCGGCTGCCTTTCATCTAAATTATCCAGAGTTTCCCGTGATGCATCGATAAACGGTAAGTTCCAACTGACGTCATCGCGAGTGACTGGAACGAACTGGTCACTCTGGGAAACGAAGTTGCCTTGTGAAATGTCCAAGAGAACTTTGTCTTGTTTCATGCTGGTTGTTCTGGCCGGTTTTTTGGGAGTAGGTGTTTTAACCGGTGACGGCGGCGTTTGTGCCTCTGTGGCGACAGTCCCGTTGCCTGATTTCTGATACGGCCTCACCATCATCAAACTTACTTTCTGGTAGCTTCGATTTCTCCTATACCTGTCAAACAAGATTGATTAAACAAGTTATGCTCTCACTTTGCCTTTATTAATAAGGGCCCTACATTAGTTAATTAACAATATATCCTTTTATCCAGCAATGTATTCTTTATCTTACCGTACCTTTTTGTTTATTAATTTCTTTACACTAATAATATTTATAACTTTATACAGCAGCAGTGTTTTAGATGAATATAAAAGTCAATTTTACATTTGAATATGTTTATTTATTCTTTGAATTCACATTCTTAATACATGTTATATATTTTACCAAGTCCATTTCCCCCGTGTTGCATTATATATAATCCTGTACTCAAAATCGACTTCATAATGATTTTCAATCTATGTGATTTATTAACCAGTAGTTCACTTACCTTTTGTACGCCATTGCCATTAGGATAATAGCTATAATAAACACCACTGCCAAAGCAATCAGGATGATTAAAAGGCCTAAAAAGAAACAGCAATTGTAAATTTTATGTTGCATTACAAATGAATGTCATGTGCATTTAGCAATCGTTTACTATGTTGATATATGTAATATATAAATTGATATTGGAAATTAACTTGTCCTTTATCTCACCTATTTCATTCGTTGATGCACATAGACATTTTCCAAAAAACAAATATAAAAGAGAAAATTCAAACTTGATACTAAAAGACAACACATGACAAGCTGAGGAGACACAAAACAAATACAAAGACACCATGATCTCCCAGAAAGGAGAGGAGGCTACCGAAGGTTAGACCGTCATGTCCGATACAGGCAAGTATGACAACCAAGATTAACATAAGACAACCATCATTAACATAAGACAACCATCATTGA